GCACCTTTTTGTATAGTGCAAGTGTTTGTATGCTCTGGATTTTATAATCAGTTAGTACTTATCTGCTAAATTTATTAATAATTATATACCAATAATAAATACAATCAGGTTAGCAAAAATAACCTACCCTCTGATAGTTTTCCATTTAAGTCAGCATTTGGTAGCCTTTTAGCAGTGGCAGGCTAAATTAACACAGCTCAGTCGGAAAATGGGCTACTGCCTGTAATCTGGCCATTGCTGCCACTTCCTATCACTGATTGCTGCCAGCAGCTATCATCGTCTTGACTTGGCAGGCAGGATACAATTTCTTTGTGACCAGATCTGTCCTTGGACAGTATGTTGCCTACCTCTTGTCTAAACCATTGCCAGACTGCTTGCGTTAAGATACACATTGATTGTTATCAAGATCTAACTGAAAAAAGTAGAACATAATAGATTTTGGAATTTATCATGTAAAGAAGTAGACCTTAAGAACAGCTTAAATCAGAATGAGCTTATTTGATGAGCTGAAAACATGGCCTGCACATAATAGATTGAGGTGGTAGAACCCCAAAACAGCAGTATAACCAGCCTTTATGTTTTCAGACAATCTGGACTCAGAGGCATCTTTATATAAAGATGCCTGTACCTGAATACATTTCTCTTGGGGCAGCATGAAGAACTGAGTGGATCTGGAGAATGATTTGCCCACTCCCATCCAGAGCAGAGGCAAGGTAGCATAGTGGTAGTATATAAAAGCTGCTGTTCTCCTTCCTATCCTTGTTCTTTAAATATGGTAATTTAAGAATGGGAGTGTTTAGGGCTGCAAGTCCAGAACCTGCTTGTTTAGTTTTTGTCTTCCATATTTGATATGTAGGTTCTGTGGTCTGTTTCTTTCATGCAGGGAGTTGGATGTTGTATTGCTTTTGAGGTTTCTGCCCACCATTTTGTGTCATCAAATAGGCCATTGCCTTTTATGAGGACCAAACTTGATTTTAAAAAATTCAAGAGTTTCTCAACACAGGGGAGTTGGGGAAAATGGATTCAAATTAAATATCTTGCTGGGCTCGTTTGACCCCAGTACTTTTTCCTGCCATGGCAGGGGGTCGGACTTGATGATCTGCTCAGGTCCCTTCCAACCCTACCAACTATGAAACTATGAAGGGATTGATTATACAGTGGTTTATTTTAAACCTCATTACAGTCAATTTGGTTTGGTTCACTTGCACGTTGTCCATGAAGATGGGCTCTTAAATTTGACCCTATGCATATAGTCAGTAGCTTTTCTTTTTTCTGTGAGAGATTTTTAAAGGTCATTGCATCTACAGAGACCTGCTAATTGCATTTTGTGCTTCTGCCACTGGGTCTTTTGTTTTGTTTTTTTGTTTTTGTCTTTTATCTTATTACAAGCTTGACACTACGTACGTGATCATGTGATTTTTGCCACCCAGCCATTCTGATTTTTTTTTTGGTGTTGTTGCATAGTTTAACAAAGAGCTGTTGCATAATATTGCTAATAAGCAGTGAGCAGATAATTCCAAGTGCGTTACAGCAGTCTCCAACTTTTGGCTTTCCCTCTCCATTACCAAAACTAGTTGCAGACATCCTAACTGTCTGAAAAATTGTAATAAAACTCAGGATGTATCATTAAATTTTATTTTACATTGTGTAAATGTATAGTATAGTCTATTAGTAAATTAAAATGTCTTATGGTAGAGGAAATAGAAGTCCTGTGCGGCAAACCATACCAACTTTTTCTCCCAGAGATGGGAGTACAATTAATATAAGTTTTGTTTGTTAAGAACCAGTAAAGCAAATTGTCCACCTTAAAACCTCTCCTGAATCATGGAATCGTCATTCATTTTCCATTTGTCTTTTAATTAAATAGCATAAAACTTTCAGAGTTTAGAGGGAATTTTTAATATAGAGAGTGTATAGAGAGTGGTTAAAGGAAATCAATATTCCATACAGAAATACCATGGGCTTGTTGATACTTTACAAGTAGCAGCTTGTCTACACTATAAATATAACTAAGTCAGGAGATCTTGTTACAATGTGCTTATCCCTTAATTTAAACAGGCTACAGTTATGATTTGTAATGCAGATGAAATTATGCCCCCTAACTTGGTAAAAGCTTTGAATGCAAGCATCTTAGAGTGGTCCTATGAAAAAGGAAAGTCTTGTGCTGTATTACCCTGTTACTTTGTTGTGGTATAGTACAATATACCCCAAATCCTTGAGTAGAAACTGGAAACCTTCCAGTTAATGGAATTTGAATGATTGGAAAAGCCAGCTCCATGGCTGCCTTGCAAAGTTGTATTCAATGTCCCATTGAGCGAGCTTTAGTTAAAGCACTCCTGCTGCCACTTTGAAGCATGGGGATGCTGAATGCACATGACACTGAGGTTGCTGGAGCATATTAATTAGCATGCTATAGCAGACTCGGTTAATCGAGTCTGCTTCAACATACGCTAATTAGCACTCATTGGAGCAGGCACTGGGCACATGTGTAGGTGCCCATTAATCACAAAAAACTTTTTACCAGTGCTTGTTAGTCCATAAATATTCACTGCACTATAATGCCAACTCTTAATTATGCTGTTGGCAAAGTTCAGTCAGTGTGTGTCTTGCAAATAAAGTGTGGGCTGGGAAAGGGTGTTCATTTTATAGGATCTGGCCAATGCCCATTGATACCTGTGGGAGTCTTTCCACTGACACTGAACCTGATTCTCATGGAGATTTATGAGCCTATTTTATCATTGACATAAATAGCTAATTAGGTGCCTAAATAAGTTTGTGATTCTCAGCCTATGTTACCACAGGGAAAGAACAAAGAATCTTATAATAATTAAGAATGAAGTTTAATTTGCAAGAAGCCAGGCACAAAGATGATGCAAGGGGTACATGGATGACTCCAGAGAAAATATACGTTGTAGTTGTAATAGTGTTAGTCGCACTATGATATAAGATGTCAGTACTAAGTAATAGGGCTGCGCAAAGCTTCAGGTGCTGATTCAGTTCAGAGGAGGTTCGGCCCAATTTCATGGCCGAATCTCCAAATCCAATAAATTCAATTCAAAGCTCTCTGAATTCGAAGCTGTCCAGTAGGTGGGGGGTGGGAAGCTGGAGGAAGGGAGGGGGGAGGAGACCATGGGGGGATTCCCATGAGGTCCCATCCCCTGCC